ATATTGCTTATGGTTTTGTATTTGATACGATAGAATCGGTAGGATATTTTTTGCATCGTTTATGTCAAATATCTAAATTTGTAGAAAATATCATGTTTTGTATGGCCTGTTTTGTATGTATTGATGTTTTACTTTACGCAACATCTTCCGCCGATAAAGAACTTGGATAGGACAATTTAGGAGAGCACTGTACAGCGAACTCTGCGGTAAAGTTGTGAAGATAAATGGACACATCAAACTTCTGCTCACATATAAGAACTAATTACCTTTTTTCACATCGTTGCACGGAGAAAAGGTTTACCAGGACAACTTGATCACCAATCCATATTCCATAATTTAAGAGCGCAAATTTGGACTCGAAATAATCAAATTTTGTTATAGTAAAATTCAAATTTTGGATGAGAGCAGGATTAGGTTGTTATTTTAGTGTGGATAAGGAGCTTAGCACACAGCAATGCATGGAGAAAGCTCCGCATTATTGGCAATGGAATAAACTTTTTCTTTTTCTCTTAATAAATTGATAAAATGAGTACCGAGTATATTCGACTGCACTAATATGTTTTAAATGGTCTTCATTTAATGCTCTTTTCTACGCCTCTTGCGCTTGTTTTGCTTGTTTCCTTCCTCGTCACTTGATTCTGTCGACAGAAGATAAAGTAAAGCCTAGTACTCAGATCGAAAAAAAGTGGCCGCTAGAAAAATCAGGGATGATATTCGTATGGAAGCGATAAGAAATGTTGAAGCGCAGAAGTTACTTTCTAGCGGCTGTACGACAGGCCATGGTGAAATTAGTATCTGAAATTTGCTATCTCTCTCTAGCGCTTGCCTCTCTTAGCATGAAGAAACATATTCTTGATCAGCATCAATCGCAGAGTCGATGGAGCCACGCCTGCCTGTCCGTCTGTCAGTCTTGTTTGTCGACTAATTCTCAGAGACTATAAGAGCTAGAGCCACCAACTTTTGGCTCCGGACTGCTGTATGCTCACACTGAAACCAGTGTATTTAAAAAATGAGCCCCGCCCCGTTCCGACCGCACAAAAGGGCGAAAACCTCCCAAATCTACAATTTTGAAGATAAAAGATAAGAAAGATAAAGAAACTGAAAACGCCATGCCGTATGGAATGACCATATCTATCAGATCATTAAATTGGGATCCGATTGGATCATTATTATAGCCAGAATGAAGAAATTAATTTGCAGTGGCTAAACCCACCCGTCCCGCAGCTTTTGTTGTTCTTTTTACATTCTCTCATTCACACTCTGCTTCTGCTTCACTCGGCCCCTGCCTCTGCCCTCCCCCTGCCAATGCCTCTTCCGACTTTTAACCCACCCAGTCCCGCAGCTTTTCTGTCTTTTTTTTTGTGTACGAACTGTGCCTCTGCCGCTGCCTCGAGTCTGTAGTGTGTTGGTCTAGGGAAAGGCGGCGAGCTAACGGAGCGTGTTGGTAAGAGAAGTGTTGTAGATGTAGATGACAGATGAAGAAAAAATTTTAAATTTGACAAAACACCGCTAAGGTGCAGATGTAGTACTGAGTGCCGGGTATAAAAGTTGTGACGCGTAAAAAGCGTCTCACACGTCCCTCTCGTTTATATTTAGAAATAAACATGTCTGCAACATATTGTTTGCTATGCCGATCCAAAACATTGAATGGAAGCATTTTAGTTGCAAGAGACGAAAGCAGAAGGGAGGTGTGGTCGAAGAGCAGCGGCGTTACATTTACTAATACAAGTAAAATTTGTGGGAAACATTTTAGTGATTCCGACTTTTTTTACAGAACGACCGTAAATGGAGCAAAGCGGAGATGGCTGATACCAACTGCCGTACCCCAGAAACCAGAAGCAAATCAAGTGTTCACAGAACATATGGCATCAGCTTGTGGCGATACAGTTTTTGAGTTTAGCTCTCAAACCGAGTATGTTTAACTTTGATTTCCTTTTTTGTGGATATTATTATGATTAATTTGCAGACAAGAATTACTTGATTCTGCGCTTGCATTGGAAAATTTGCGTTTGCAAAAACAAGTTGCAGACTTGCAAAGGGAAAATGCAAAGCTCTCAACTCGGAAAACCTCAGACATTTAAAGCTTCAGTTTATTCAATATTCACGAATTCGCAAGTTAGAGAGAACTTGAGAACGGCGGAAAAAGGGTATTATGGAATCGAGATGACAGTTCGAATGCGATTTTTCTTCATGCTGCTGGTCCCCGGGCATATCGCCATTTGCTCAAAAAGGGGTTTCCACTTCCATCCTTATCCACTTTGGACAGATGGTTGCATTCAGTGAATGTACAACCAGGCATTTTAGATTTTGTCATATCCTTGATGGGAAATGCCGTTTACACTGNTTGCTATGCCGATCCAAAACTTTGAATGGAAACTTTTGTGGGAAACATTTTAGTGATTCCGACTTTTTTTACAGAACGACCGTAAATGGAGCAAAGCGGAGATGTCTGATACCAACTGCCGTACCCCAGAAACCAGAAGCAAATCAAGTGTTCACAGAACATATGGCATCAGCTTGTGGCGATACAGTTTTTGAGTTTAGCTCTCAAACCGAGTATGTTTAACATTGATTTCCTTTTTTGTGGATATTATTATGATTAATTTGCAGACAAGAATTACTTGATTCTGCGCTTGCATTGGAAAATTTGCGTTTGCAAAAACAAGTTGCAGACTTGCAAAGGGAAAATGCAAAGCTCTCAACTCGGAAAACCTCAGACATTTAAAGCTTCAGTTTATTCAATATTCACGAATTCGCAAGTTAGAGAGAACTTGAGAACGGCGGAAAAAGGGTATTATGGAATCGAGATGACAGTTCGAATGCGATTTTTCTTCATGCTGCTGGTCCCCGGGCATATCGCCATTTGCTCAAAAAGGGGTTTCCACTTCCATCCTTATCCACTTTGGACAGATGGTTGCATTCAGTGAATGTACAACCAGGCATTTTAGATTTTGTCATATCCTTGATGGGAAATGCCGTTTACACTGACGAGGAGGACAAAGTGTGTATTTTGTTTTTTGACGAGATGAAAGTCGAGACAAATTATGAGTACGACCACTCTTTGGAAGCAGTGCAAAAACAACGAAACTATGTTAAAGTCGTAATGGCACAAGGCTTGCGCAAGTCTTGGAAGCAGCCGATATATTTCAACTTTGATAAGAAAATGATGATATCCACATTGAACATGCTCATTAAAGGCTCTACATGGTAGGGTATCATGTCGTCGGAATCGTTAACGATATGGGTCCCGGGAACCACAAATTGTGGACAAGTCTTGGAATCTCGCCTGGTATGAAGTAAGCAAAACTTTAGACTTCTCTGACTAATTTATAAATATTTTTTAAATTGGAACTACTGGAAAAGTGTATGTGTTTGTAGACGTACCCCATCTTGTGAAGTTGATAAGGAATCACTTCCTTGATTCAGGGCTTGTCGTTGATAGGAAAGTTTTAACCCAGCAAACCGTGAGGCGAGCAATGAACCACGCTTCCACATCGGACCTTTCCATTATGTGGGAAGTTAACATCTGTTACATCTGATCATCTTAACGTGCGCTCTGCGGGCAGTCAGAGAGTTAAGCTGGCAACTCAGCTATTTTCAAACACCACAGCCACCTCATTCACTTATGTGGATCTGGTGTCAGCAGGTGGGCTAAAGAAGCCGAATTTTGCTGGAAAAAATGATAAAAAGTTAAAAAAACACTGAATTGGATACAAAAACCAAAGAATTATTTTTTAAAATGAGGATACAATTTCGAATTAAAGATTTAAATAGAAGAATTAAAATTCAAAAACAGAAACAAAGACTAAGTGGTCATAAAAAATATCTTAAGATTTTATTAAAACATACATATTAAAATGTTATTAATTGTTTTGAACTATTTCGTTTTATTTATTATCGAACATCTTTTCTTTGCTGTCCGCAGAAACAATAAAAGCGAAGAGTGCAGAACGTGAAACGTTTGCTATCTCTCTCTAGCGCTTGCCTCTCTGAGAGCTTAGAGAGCGTGGTGAATAAGCAGGTGCTCCTCCACTCAGCCATAAAGCAACTATATAAGGAGGTCTCGTCGGAAAAAATTATGGACTAGTGCGAGTGAAAGGGCTCTCGCTGTAAGTGTGAGGGCAACGACAATGGAGTGTGTTGATTAATCATTTGAAAGCAATGTGGAAAAACATAATAATTGTTTCATAATTTAATTTTTAATACTTTGCTACATTATAGTAGTCTGTGTTTTAAAAATTAAAGTTTGAAAATATTTGAAAAAAGAAAATTTTGTCCGCATCCAACCTTTTGCGTCGACAAGCAAACGAGCACTGAAATTGGGAAAAAGCAGCGAGTAACTCTGCACCCACGAGGCCATGAAGAAGCTATAAGCATAAAGCAACTACATAAGCATGAAGAAACCATAAAGAAACTATATAAGGGGGTCTCGTCGGAAAAAATTATGGAATAGTGCGAGTGAAAGGTGTGAGTGAAAGGGCTCTCGCTGTAAGTGTGAGGGCAACGACAATGGAGTGTGCTTATTAATCATTTAAAAGCAATGTGAAAAAACATAATAATTGTTACATAATTTAGTTTTTAATAGTTTGCTTCATGAAAGTAGTCAGTGTTTTGAAAGAATAAACATTTTGAAAAATTTTTTTTTTTTTTGAGGTTTTAAGTTACCGCTCTACCCTTGGGTAGAGGGGAATTATTTGGCCGCCCGCCTTTACAAGGGGGAAATCGCCATGTCGAAATATGTAACTTGTTACAGTTTTGCTCCAATACTTACCTGGCGTAGAGGTTATGTTCCCCGTTTGAAAAATTTTGAAAAAAAAAAAAAAATCGTCTGCAACCAACCTTCCGCGTCGACAAGCAAACGTGCACTGAAAATTGTGAAAAGCAGCGAATAACTCTGCCACCGACTAGGCCTCCTTATATAGTTGCTTTATTGCCTCCTTATAGTTTCTTCATGGGGCAAGGGTTGCGGATGTTTCTGGCCCAGGCCGCGCCTGCGATTGTCTAAACACGCAATGGTAATCATTTCAATGGGTTTATTTTCGGAAATTTGTGTTTACATACTTCAAGGATTTGGATTCGATTCGGTTTGGCTCGTACCAGATTACGCCCATGACATGAAATGAACTGGAAACGAAGATAAATTAAAGTTGCTGAGGGGAATAGGCATGAGAATGGAAATGGAATGCTGGGAGTGAAAAAGTATAACGAAACTAGTATTCTATGGCAGGCCGGGCCAGTAATAGCGTCTGACGTCGACGAAACTGTGATTGTGGGTCCCCCCATCCTGCCTGCCAAAACTGCTTGAGGCTCGAGGCGCGAGGCGGCTCCTTTTCCATGTGCGGTGTGCGTTGTATGTCGGGTCGTGATGGGGTGGGCATGGCAGAAATTGTATGGTGGGGCTACAGCCATGAGGATGCGTGTGTAAGATTGGAAACATTGCCTGCCATCCATCCGACAACAACAGCTACAATGGCAAAAGTTTAATGAGTGTAATTTTTGTAAATGAAAGCAAAATGAGCAGAGACGGACGGCAGAGCCAACTTATAAACGTGTTTTTGCATTCAGTAAAGCAAGTCAAACGGTGGCAACACGCGACGGGGACCATACAGTGACGGTTCGTCTTCAAGTACGATTTTGTTGAGAGGCAATCAATATGAGGTCCAGCAGCAGGGCACTGGAGAATGGTGATGGCGAGGAGGATGGCGAGGGTGGGCAGGAGCAGGAGCACCATGCGGGCGATCCGCGTCCATTGCCATACGCCTTTGAGCAGGAGCTGATCAGAAAGTCCAACAGGCATATACGCCTCTATGATGCCTTCGTGCCGGTTAGCAAAGGTGCCTTGACAGACGATTTGATCTCCTCATTTATTCCACCTGCTCCTCATCCCTAGAGTATTTGTTGACTCGCAAATTCTACGCCGCGTACGACCAACGGAAGCCGGCGCAGCCATTGCGCTTCCTGCGCTACACCCAACCGGAGAGACATCTGGAGCAACAGAGGCAGCTGGACTCGGCAACTCCGCTGCTGGAATCGCAGATGTACGGCTGGCTGCCAGTGCAGGGTCGAAAATGCTCCCTAGACCTCAACTTCCTACATGCCCCAAAAATGCGATGCAGCATGACGATCCATGGCGAACACCTGATGGCGGAACGTTTCACGGAGCGTCCACCATTCAATGGACTGCGCTTTTTGCTTCACTAAAAACACAAAAAACAAATTTTAAATCCGCAGTAGTGTGACAACACTAGCTCCAAACGCGCGTTTGCAAGCCAGTTGGCAGTCCAGTTCACTCAATGTTTACGTTCTGCGCTTTAGTTTTTACAATAGAAAATCCAAAATACAGTTCCGCTCCGTTCCGAATACTTGCGACTTTATACAGTGCCACCAGTTATTTTATTAAGGATAGGAGCCGCACAAAATGGTATGAAATAGGCTGGCTGAAGCGAGAAGTGTTGGTGTGGGTAACGGAGCCAAAGTTCACGTTTATTTCAGCCTCCGCTCCGCTTAATGACTTTATTTCCAAGCACATTCATACATATACACACATTAATGATTTAATAGGCTCATTCGAATAAGGCAAAAAACGAAAACAGAGGTGCGAAATCACAGAAACCAGCAACGAATAATAAGAATTCCAGCGACCCGCCAAATGATGCCCAACCCAATCTGCGGGCCCCTAGTCTGGATCAGTTCCATGAACTCCTTCTCCACACCCTGCAAAAGTCGTGTAAGTCGTAGCTGACCGCTGCCCAGTCCAATGTGAGGGCTCTGATTTCTCCTTTTGGTACTTTCAGGGCTGCGGGTTCGACATTGTGTTATCTCCGAGATAAGAGGAAGCGAGCTGTTCGAAGCCGCTGCGGTTTGGTGCGCCCGCAATCCTCACATTGCCATCTGTTTTCTGGCAGCTAGCTTGGTATTCATTTTGCCATTCCTTATCATTTTCGGCTTCGGAATCGCCACCATGGTGATGACTTTCACGGGCCTCTTGGTGCTAGAAGGTAGGAAGGAGCTCGGACTCGGGCTGAGGATGATTTTATTACCAGACTTCCCCTTATGTTACAGGCACTCTTCTAACTATTGTCTCTATGATGTTCTTTGCATGTCTGGGAGGATTTGCTGTCATGGTTCCGGTGATTGGGGTCGTTACTGTTGGTGCATACTTTGGATTCGCCCAGGTTTACGGCTTATATGACGGGAAAGACCGCACCAAGACTGTCTTCACTAGGTTTGTCAAAGATCCGCCCAAGCAATGGCACGCGGTGCCGGCATCAGTTGCAATTTCTAAATAGCACACTATTGCCGGTATTTTGTAATATAAATAAATAAAGGAAGATCTTTTATAAGCACGTTTGTTTATGCATATATGCATTTTTTGAAAACATGACCGCGCCACATTATTATTTAAGAAGGTTGGCAGTACCAGCAGCACTTCTATCGCTACTAAATACCTCCCAGCCCTAGTTACATATTTAGTTGTCGCCATACTTTCAGGGTAACCATTACTGGTTATAACCATTACCATTATATAATTTGTGATGTAATATTTAAATTATTATTTTGAGTTAATTACTATTTTTTTTTGGTATTTAATCGCTGCCGCGGAATTGGATGGTCGCACGTCGATGAGTCCGCATTAACCAGGTACTTGAGTTCGATCACTGGTTAGTGGTTCGATGATGGGGCTGTCGATATTTTCTTGACTATCGATGGTTGTTAATGAGACCATGCATGGTGTTGCATAGGTATATTCTTATAATTTAAACAATATGATGCTTAGTTTAAAGTGTCGTCGTGTGTAAGAGTTTAACAAAATATATAATAGTGAAATGGATTGATGTGTAAGTGTAATAATTACTTTAAATAATTTGATTAATAAAATTACCTCGACTAGAATACTGATTTATCAATTAGTTGTGATTTAGTTCTGACAGTCATAAAAATATATGATATTTGATATATCGATAAGAATATGCACTAGTTCGCGAGGAAAAAAAAATTAGGACACCCAAATCAATAAAAACTCATGAAATTATCTCAATACTTCCGTTTTACGAAGATTATTGAAATTGTTCTTGACTTTTACTTCATGTTGCAAGTCGAAAGTAGAGAATATCCAATTCCTGCCAAGGATATTTTTCGGTGCTGGAGACAGGTCTTTAAGGAAAATTTGCGACGGGGGCGAAGCTGTAAAACGGTGCCCCAAGCACCATTTATAATAAAGCCAGATGCGCAAAACTTTCTTGCGGCAGAATCAGGAATAATATTTTCATAGAAACGATACGAAATCAACCCTGTTTTTTGTGCGACAGAAAATTTGGACACCATAATTTTGCATTTGAGTAGTCAGATCAGCAGAAAAAATACCAAAAGACCAGCCGATTAAATACCGCAGCGAAAGATACAGTTAAGCCACTAACCAAATGTATAGTAGATTGTCAATTCAAAGGAAGCGAAACGTCACCGCAGAATGTGCGTCGGGAAGTCCCAGGCCTCTGCCAACGTCACGGCTACAAGTATTAGTGCGTGTAGAACACGCAGCTAGAAGTCCCAGCTACATTTGTATCAGTGCGTGTAGAGCACGCAGCCAGAAGTCCCAGCTACATCTGTGTAAGTGCGTGTAGCCAATGATTTTTTAGCGCTCCAAACCGGTTCTGGCTTGATTCACTCGGACACTGCAAGTATCGTATGTGTTGGTGCGCTGACTTTCTGAAGTGAGATGGAACGAAAATTCGTTTTGATGATTTGATTTTGTTTTCGGGGCTTGGCGTATGAAACTGACCTACCGCAACATATGCAGAATGAGGGGTGGGGATTGGTGGCCGGACCTTTGGGGGTTGCAAAAAATAAATATACCAATAAAAGTTGTTATTGTATTTGAATGCTGTAATTGTTTTAAATGCAGATTTTATACTGCTTTATTCAAAATTGTATGCATATTATGGAAACGCCGTCGCTTCTCGACTTCGTTGCTGCCGTCTTATCAACATTGTTACCGAATCCATCTTTTACAGACAAATCTTTTCAGATAAATATAAAAACATATATGCGTACATAAGCATATGTAAACACATATGTATATATATGTACATACATCTTTCCAATTTCTGTTCTAGTCGTCGGCTATTTTCTCGACTTCATCTGCGCTATTTCTGTTAATTGCATATTAATTATACAATTTACTTATTGTTTAAAAACAGATTGTAAATATAAAGAGAGAGAAAAAAAAAATGTGCGCTTTAATTGTTAGTGCTTGAAATCGTTTGCATGTTTTTTTATTCTGATCTCACATACCATTTGAAATGAAAACAATCAAGACTTTATGAAGAAGCTTGCCCCTCAATATCAAAATAAATCTTTTTTGTGTGACCTTTATATGCTTTATATAATTAAGGATGAAACGGGTAACGGATATAAACATCTGAATATGTATACAAATAATGAATTACGGCAATTGACCTTGCGTTGCAAATATTTTCCATTAGTGTATTCAGGGTCACGGTGTGAACAAGCATGGAGTTTTGATGGAACGGAACATGGAGACATGTTTGCTGGCCTTGCACATGTACACACACATTAACCCTTGCACATATTCCTCCGACTCCCATCGGCAAATCGAGATTTGGACAACTGACTCAAGTTTGATGACCAAGCATGGCATTAAAATCTGCATAGACCCACCGCGTACCTATTATTATTTTATTTGTGTACATAATTTAAATATGAATATATGTATTATGTAAATACTATGTATGTTTAAATTTGTGCACAATAAAGTAACAATTATCTTAACTATAAATTATAAATACAATCAAATTTACAAATTTATATACATAATATATATATACTTAATTTATATACATTTATATACAATTGTACATACATATGTACATACATAAAGTCGCTGCTCATGTTAGTTATACTATTTGGTTAGTGGCCGTTCAAAGGAATATTTGCGCCCGTGGCAAAGTCGTAAAATGGTGCCTCAAAGCACCCTTTCTTTTCAAACTTGAATGGTTTGGAGCCCAAATCGCTGCCTTCGCCCCTCCACGGCACTACCCTGTGGAGCAGTACTTGGTCGCAAAAGGAAAACAGATTAAAACATTTTGTTAACAGCACAGCAGGGTCTGTGTCTTGGCAACATGAAGCTATTGGCGTTCAAATAAGTTAACAAATGTAATCTAATTAATCTATTAGAATTGTTTCCTTTTCTTTTGCCGTTTGATGGCCTTCAGCTCTTTTAGAAGCACGGTGGTCATTTATCTTTCAACTTCAGCGGCATTGTTGCCTCCATTTGTTTGAGACTTCACTCTCTGTTTGCTATGTACCCTCTCGGAACGTAACCCAAATCTATATATGTCGAGCTGCTAGCAACATACCAACGAATACCACACAAATACTAACAAAACCACACAAATACTATCAATACCACAAAATACTATCGGCTGACTATCTAGATTTAATCGGCCAGTATTTTTGTCGATCTGAGCATGGTGAAATTACTAATAAGGTCGTAGTCCATGGTGAAATTAGGAACAAGGTGACGTCGTCAGCTGAGTGCATAAAGCAACTATATAAGGAGGCCTCGTCGGTGGCAGAGTTACGTGCACGTTTGCTTGTCGACGTGGAAAGTTGGTTGCGGACAAAATTTTTGTTTCAATTTGTTTTAATTGTTTATTTTTTCAGAACACAGGCTACTATTATGTAGCAAACTATTAAAAATTAAACTATGAAACAATTATTATGTTTACTCACATTGCCTTCAAATGATTAATCAACACACTCCATTGTCGTTGCCCTCACACTTACAGCGAGAGCCCTTGCACTCGCACTAGTCCATAATTTTTTCCGACGAGACCTCCTTATATAGTTGCTTTATGGCTGAGTGGAGGAGCACCTGCTTATTCACCACGCTCTCTAAGCTCTCAGAGAGGCAAGCGCTAGAGAGAGATAGCAAACGTTTCACGTTCTGCACTCTTCGCTTTTATTGTTTCTGCGGACAGCAAAGAAAAGATGTTCGATAATAAATAAAACGAAATAGTTCAAAACAAGTAATAACATTTTAATATGTATGTTTTAATAAAATCTTAAGATATTTTTTATGACCACTTAGTCTTTGTTTCTGTTTTTGAATTTTAATTCTTCTATTTAAATCTTTAATTCGAAATTGTATCCTCATTTTAAAAAATAATTCTTTGGTTTTTGTATCCAATTCAGTGTTTTTTTAA